CGGCGGGGGGGGGTGGCAAGCAGCTGAAGAAGCTGCTGGCAGTGGTGGGAGGGGAGGGGGGCAAGTGGCTGAATGCAGGGGCCCCTTGGCTGTGGGGTCCCCTGCAGCCACAGGTTTCGCAGGATAGGACTGGCCAGCCCTGGACAAATGCAGAACTCTAGAGCTCTTAGTTCAGAGATGATACGAGCTGGTGCGACAAGAAGACAGAAGAGGACAATGGGAAAAAAATGGCAGACCTCATCTGGTGGAGAGGGGTCTGGCTACTTTTTCAGGAGTAGACCCTCTGAAGAGGAAAGTGGGTCGGGGTACAGGTAGGGAGATGGGCGTGCGGTTGCACGGTGTGAACTGCGTAACGGGTTTTTAGCGTGCTTTGAGCTGCCAAGTGAACCACAGGGGCCACTTGGCAGAGTGTTGGAGGTGGAGTTACATAATATATTTATTTATATACAGGTTTCCTTCGCTTTATGCTGTATATGTATTCCTGGAAAACGGCACATCACTCGAATTCACATAAAGGGAACCCACTTTTCAATGTAACAAATAGGGATATGTTCCAAAACCTTGACTGTACTGACCCCCAGACCAATCTCTATCACTTTTACAAGACAGTTTTGGTACTCACCAACAGCAGACAGTACACGTAAGCATAGGGCACTATTATAATGGGGATGGCAACTACAGAACGAGCGAGGAGCACAGACTCACACAGGAAACTATATTTTGGTGCACTGCATGTCACTCCCACGATGCACCGTACTAAACAGTTGACTGCAGGTTTCCACTGCACCAGTCGCATAAGAGTGAATTTACCTTGCATATAACAAATTTTTGGTATAAAAAGGGTCATTGCATAACAGCAAATTCGCACATACAGAACCTGTATAAAGCAAGGGAAACCTGTATATAGAAATAAATATTTTTGCAAAACAAGCAAAAAAAAGAAGATACCTTTTATTAGACCAACTAAGAAATTGCAAAAAAAAAAAAAATCTTTTTCTGCAAGCTTTCAGACGTGCACACCCTTCCTCAGGCTCAGGGAAAATTAAAGATGGTAAAAAGTTCCCATAGGTAGAAAATAAACTATCTACTCACTGTTGGAGCGTTGTTGGTTGTAGCCCTGTTGGTCTAAGGGCATAGGCAGGCAAGGTTCTTTGGTGAGATGTGATATCTTTTATTAGACCAACCAAAAGGTTGGGAGAAAAGTTCTTTGCAAGCTTTCAGACACAAACACCCTTTGTCAGGCATAGGGAGACTGCTGGTGTTATGTGTTCTCCAAGGTGGAAAGGCTCAAGGTAGAGAACCTCAATGTTGGAGGATCAACACAGGAACCTGTGTTCAGGGTGTTAGGTCTGTGCTGGGGCAGGTTTGAGGGCAGTCTTACTAAAGAGTTTTAAATTATGGTTCGAACGGGATGGTTTAGAGAGGGCTGATCCTGGACTAGATCGGTGTTTCCTAACCTTTTCCAGCCCAAGGCACACTTACATTAATAATTTTTTTCTGTAGCGCACAACCCCCCACGATTTTTTTTTACCATGTACAAAGTCATTAGAGTGTAGCATGACCTACCATCTCACGTTCATACACTAGAAAGGAAGCACGGCATAATATACTAATACACAGGTCTGTTCATAGCCCAATACTAATACACAAGACATAGTTCTGTCCACAAAATAATTTATGTAAATGATACATTTCATTTATTCATTTATTTTTCTAATGTGTGATTATTTCCCCCCAAAATTCCACAGCAGACCTGTTCATTTCTGATGGTGCACCATTGTGCCACAGCATGCTGGTTGAGAAACTCTGGACTAGATCAGCATTTCTCAGCCCATGGTTCAAGACCCAAAAGTGGGTCTCAAGAGTATATGAAAGGATTGTAAACAAACTCTAAAAATGGATTCTCCTTTAAAGGAGAAAAATGTGGGAAACAGTGGCTTTTCCTTTGCAAGCTGGCAGAGTTCTAGTCTGCACGGGGTTGCTTGGGAGCCCACCCAAGCCCTGTACACACCCACCCTCTGCCCCACATGCTGGGGGCGGAGGGCAGTGTGTCGGGAGTGAGGGGCACTGGGTTGGGACTGGCCATTGATGTTTACAAAGGGATCCTGGTACAATAAGGTTGAGAACCACTGGACTAGATGACCTGTGGAGGTCCCTTCCAGCCCATCTTCTCTCTGATGCTATGATTAGGGCACCAACACCCAGATTTTCAATCTGGGGTACCCTCAGCAGAGGTTTGAAATTCTTTTTAGGTACTTGAGTTTTTTTTTTTAAATCGCCTTGTTTTCAGAGGCACTCGCAGTTCCTATGGTCTCTCACTTTAGAGACTCCCCCTGCCATTTCACAGTGTTGTTAGGAAATACCGCATCTCAAGGTTCAGACCACCTTCTGTTGCAAGGTTCTCCCCCACCCCTGTCCACCACAGGAAGCTTGATATAGTCCAATTCATAACTTTCTAGGTCCTGAGTTTTAGCATTTCTGATATCTTATGTCAATACACAGTGATAGATATCAGCAGGAAAGAAGGAAATGGATGTAAAACAAGTGGCCTACCTAATAATAAAGGAGACTTAAATAATATTATTACAGGATGGAATTCATCCCAGTGTCAAAGATGAATAGAGTCTTCAGCTCCAAATAAAGCTATTGCAAATCTCTGGAAACTGGAAAGCAGACACCCCTGAAATCATGTCACACTGTTTATAGGGACTCCACACCAGCTGCAAAAGGGCTAATGCAGGATTTAGGATGTATGTGGAGGTAGGACATAAAACAGGTCAATAGCTATGCAGTCTGCCCATGGGCTGGGGAAGCAGATTCCCTCCTCTGTCCTCATTTACCTTCTAGGCCTGAAATCCACTTGCTTTGGTTTTATGCAGTGTCCATTAATTTCATCCCTAAGGATTTATTATAATAAAGTGCTACCTATAGGAAGGGAAACTTAACAGGAACATACCTGTCTTGTTTTATTATACAGTCTCAGAAGGTATACGTGTTGCTGAAGAAGTGGATCAGGAAGGCAAAAATTGTTAGCCAACATGACTAAATGGTCATAAGATACTATTTGGGCCAAAAAGAGACACTTCAATAAAGGACTGAAAAGAGAACTTCAGAGAGACCAAAACAAAGTAGATGAATGGGCAACATGACAATAAATGATGCTCGGTTTTCATAAAGTCAAAGCAATGTACATAGAAGAGAAAACATTAAACTACTCATACCACCATATAAGGTTATAAGTTAACTGTCAGCTCAGGAACAGAATGTGGGTGCCTCTGTGAAGGCCTCTTCTCCATGATTTTAACAACAGATGTTAGACTGCGTAAGAAATGAGATAAAGAAATACCATGCTGCTTTTTGCAAGGTGATGGCGTAGCATCGGTAGCATAAACCACTGAATGATCAAGGGCATGCGAAATGCCTGTCCTGGAAAGACATTGCAGAAGAGGCCTTAGAATGAAGTTGAATAAGAGGGAACAGGATAAAAGTATAAAAAATAATGAATGGCATAGAAAAGATGTACCAGGGACTTCTGCCATCTTTGTTTTAAAGGACAAGAACAGGGGAACAGTGAAACAAAAGGTGGAAAAAATTCAGAGCTGGGGAAGGAAAATACTTTTTTTCATAGAATTCGTAATTAGACCCTGAATCATATTTCCACATAAGACCGCTGAAGCCGGTAATTCTTTTCGAGTGCAAACATGTGAGAAGAATTTTTACACTTTCCTTCAAACGTCTAAGTACACAGGCCATTGTCAGAGACAGGATACTAAACTCAGTGGACAGCAAACCTAGTCCATTA